AACATTCCATGCTCATAGTTAAGAATAAATATTGTCAAAATGTCAATACTACTACCAAAAGCTATCTACACATTCAATCAGAATCAATCAAAATTGCAACATTCTTCTAGTAATCTAAAATTCATATATGGAACCACAAAAAAAAGGCGAACTAGCCAAAAGTAATTTTGAAAGAGACCAAAAGCAGGGCATCACAATCCCTGACTTTGTAGCCTCTACTACAAGCTGTGTCATCAAAGACAGCATGGAATTGTGGCACAAACACAGACATAGACCAATGGAATGAAATGAAACCCCTGGGGCATTACAAGTATGGCCAACTAATCTTTTACTTTGACAAGCGGAAGAATATCAATGGAGGAAAAAGACAGTCTCTCTTTAACAAGTAGTTGCTGGGAGGAGCAGGACAGCAACATGCCTGCAGAAGGATGAAACTAGGCAACTTTCTCCTGCACCATTCACAAAAAAATAAATTCAAAATGGACCAGAGGACACGTGAGACAGGGAAACCATCGTGTCCGTGGGAGAGAGAGAGAGAAAGCAGGAGAAAAATATCTGACCTCAGCCATAGCAATTTCTTACTTGACATACACATCCCAAAAGAGCAAAAGAATTAAAGGAGGAGGAATTAAAAAGCAAATGAACTACTGGACCTTATGAAGATGAAAGCTACTGCACAACAACAAAGGAAATAACACAACTAAAAAGGCAACCTTGAGATGGAAAGAACAACTTTACACCCAAATGATATATCAAACAAGGAGAGGGCTAGTATCCACCGAATCTATACCAAAACTCACCAAACTGACACCCGAAAAAACAAATAATAACCAGTGAAATGGGCAGAAAACGTGAAAATGAACACTTCTCTAAAGAAGACATCTGGATAGCCAATAGGCACATGAAAAGATACTCAATAATGGCAAATACCCTCATCAGGGAAATACAAATCAAAACCACACTCAGATACTTACTGTCTGCATAACTTTGACAGTCAGAGTGGCCAAAATAAACAAATCAGGAGGGAGACTGAGATGCAGAGAGGATGTGAAGAAATACAGGAACCTCTTGCACTGTTAGGTGGGAGCACCAAATTAGTGCAGCCACTCTGTAAAACAATTGAGGGGTTTCCTCAAAAAATTAAAATAGTCCATCTATGGCCCTTGGCGTGTAGCACTGCTAAAATTTACCAAGGATACAGGAGTACAGTCGCCATAGGGGGGGGGGGGGAACGCAATATTTATGCTTGCAGCATATAATAACCTTAAATGCTCTCTGGAAAAAGAGCCTAATCATCATCCATGATGAATGGATAAAAAGTAGTAACCCTCTCTCAGCTGGAAGCAGCACCTCTAGTGTAATGAAAGAAAAAGAATAAATATATTGCTAGCAATATGGATGGAATTCAGAGTGTGCTTGATAAGTAAACAAGTCGCCTAGAAAAGACATGGCGATACCATGTTTTCCTGCACTCTTATATGTGGATCCACAAAGCTTTCTTTTTAGAAACATATAGAGGAGGAAAAGGAAAAAAAATTTTTTTTTTAAAAGGTTAGAGAAGTAGGAGAAGAATAAACATAGGGGCATCTTAAAAGCAGAGGAAACCGAAAACTGAGGGTTGATGGGTGGTGGGAGAGGAGGGTGGGTGATGGGTATTAGGAGGAGGGAGCACCTTTGGGATGAGCACTACAGGTGTTGATTTGTATGAAACCAATTTGACAATAAATTTCATATATTGAAAAAAAACAAAAACAAAAACAAAAAGTGGCATATACATATAATGGAATATTATTCAGCCACTAAAATGGATAAATTTTTGATACATTTTATTACTTATATGAAACTAAAAACACCAGCTAAGCTTTACATGATTCCATAATAACTAATTACTGTATTAAGGTCCAGAATAGAAAAATCTACAGAGACAAAGTAGATCAGTGGTAGGTGATTAGGAGGTAGAGGGATGATAGCTAAGAGTATAGGATTTGTTCCTGAGGTGATGAAAACATTCTAAAATCAACTGTGTTGATGGCTGCACATTCTTAAGAATAGGGAAAAACCACTGAACTGCATACTTTAAATGGGTGAACCGTACTATATGTGCATTATATGTCAATAAAGCTCTTTATAAATGTTCTATGGGCACTTGAAAAGTTTTGAAGTTTTTTTAAGGCATAGAAACATTTCTACATATCTATGATCAAACCTCATTATTTGCATTATTCCAGGATGTATTTTCAACTATGCTTTTTATAAATAATTTCATTTCTATGATCTCTCATGAGCCAAGCATGTATATTCAACTTCTCTACTGCTATTCTGTATTGTCCATTTCTCCTTGAAGGTTCTCTAGAGTTTTCTGCTAGTGTATGGTCTGTTCTGCATTCCTCCCATCGCCAAGCAAAATTCCTTTTCCCCAGTTAGGCATCTTTTTCTCATGTTACATATATTTTTATGCTAATTCATGGTTAAAGAGTTATGTGTAATAGCCTCTTTGTGGATTGCAAATCAGTATAAAAATACTCCTCCTTAAGAGAGGGAGGGAGGCAAACCATAAGAGACTCTTAAATACAGAGAACAAACTGAGGGTTGATTGGGGGTGCAGGGGAGAGGGAAAATAGGTGATGGGTATTGAGCAGGGCACTTGGTGGAATGAGCACTGGGTGTTGTATGTAAGCGATGAATCACGGGAATCCACCCCAAAACCAAGAACACACCATATACACTCTATGTTAGCCAACTTGACAATAAATTATATCAAAAAAATATTCCTCCTTAATTCCTGCAACAGTCTGGGTGTTGTCTATATTAATATCATGTCTCCATATTTCTTTTTAATATATATCTAGTTTTCCTTTATTTTCAACCATTCTGTGTCATTTTATTTTCAACGTTTTTTTTTTTTTATTTATTTTTTTGGGACAGAGAGAGACAGAGCATGAACAGGGGAGGGGCAGAGAGAGAGGGAGACACAGAATCGGAAACAGGCTCCAGGCTCCGAGCCATCAGCCCAGAGCCTGACGCGGGGCTCGAACTCACGGACCGCGAGATCGTGACCTGGCTGAAGTCGGACGCTCAACCGACTGCGCCACCCAGGCGCCCCTGTGTCATTTTATTTTCAATGTGTATGCTATATAGCATGGACCTCAGCTTGTTTTTTAACCTAATTTGAGAAGTTTTTTTTTTTAATAGATCAATTTATCCCATAAATGTTTATATTGTCTTATATATGTCTTCCATTATCGATTTTATGGTATTTTCTTTTGTTACAAACTTACTTTTTTCTTTTTTCCGCCCTTTATTTTCCTGTTACTCTTAGCATTTTTCTAAATAGTTTGGATGTTTTGTAGTTTGATTTTACTCGTTTAGAAGTAACTTTTATAATTTTAAATACTGTAACTTATAAAGCTTATGAAAGAAACTGAAGCACAAAAAAATGGAAAAACATTTTATGCTCATGGATTGGAAGAATACATATTGTTAAAATGTCGATACCACCCAAAGCAATCTACACATTCAATCCCTATCACAATAACACCAGCATTCTTCATAGCTTGAACAAACAATTCTAAAATTTGTATAGAACCAAAACAGACCCCAAACAGCCAAGTAATGTTGAAAAAGAAAACCAAAGCTGGAAGCATCACAATTCTGGACTTTAGCCTATATTACAAAGCTGTAATCATCAAAAAATGACACAGAGATCAATGGAACAAAATAGAGAACCCAGAAATGGACCTACAAATGTATGGCCAACTAATTTTTGACAAAGCAGGAAAGAATATCCAATGGAAAAAATACAGTCTCTTTAGCAAATGGTTTGGGAAAACTAGACAGCAACGTGCAGAAGAATGAACCTGGACCACTTTCTTACACCACAGACAAAAATAACTCAAAATGGATAAAAGACCTAAATGTAAGATAGGAAACCATCAAAACCCTACAGGAGAAAACAGGGAACAGCCTCACTGACCTAGGACGCAGCAACTTCTTACTTGACATGTCTCCCGAGGCAAGGCAAACAAAAGCAAACATGAACTACTGGGACCTCATCAAGATAAAAAGCTGCTGCACAGTGAAGGAAATAATCAGCAAAACTAAAAGGCAACCAACGAAATAGGAAATGATATTTGCAAATAAGATTTCGGATAAAAGTTAGCATCCAAAATCTATAAAGAACTTATGTTCTATATATTCTTTTATGTTAGAAATAGGGGGCCATGGGTAAAAAAAATAAGATAAAAAAGAGAGGAAGGCACACCCTAAGAGACTCTTTAATACAGAGAACAAACTGAGGGTTGCTGGAGGGGATATGGGTGGCAGGCTGGGCTAAATGGGTGACGGACATTGAGGAGGGCACTTGTTGGGATGAGCACTAGGAGTTATATTTAAGTGAGGAGTCACTGGGTTCTACTCCTAAAACCAACACTGTATGTTAACTAACATGAATTAAAAGAAAAAAAAAAAAACCACAACAACAACAACAAAGAAAAAGAAGTAGGGGGGCATGGGTAAACATAAATCTGATCCTGGCTCTTTTTTACTGTAATTTTTTAAAAGTTTGTATTGAGGCTCTTTCCGTCTTTATCACAGTCTTCTGGAATGCCTTCAGATTTTAGGTTTTCCCTATTTCAGTAATGAGACATGATCCTTGATTTCTAGTACTATCAGCCTTAAAGTATTTGTTTGTGATCCTGTTTCTAAGTTCACAACATCTTTTCCCAATGGTAACAATTATCTTACAAATCAATATATACATCTAACACACATAGCACTGATGTAATTTTCATGAAAGCCAAAAAAAAAAAAAGAAAAGAAAAGAAAAGAAAAGAAAAGGAAAAATGGATCTCTATTTAAATCATGAGGCAATATTATCAGAATAAAATGGAAACACACAGACACAGGCTCTGTCTCTCTCTCTCATTCTCTGTCACTCCTCCTCGTCCTCCCCGCCAACTCCCAATCCCTAATCCGCAACTCCCCTGCCCCAATCCCATTACCTGCAATATCTATCTGCAAGGATTCTTGATCTTCTGTCCTCTTACTATGGATCTCCTCATTCTGTTTAATGGCTTCAGTGTCTGGTGGACTTTCAATCTTTATGTTTTGTAGTCGAGCTGAGGGCTCTGCAGCAGCAGCACCACTAGAACCTAAGAGAGGTAAATTAACACAGTATCCAGACCTGGAAGTTGACAAAAAATATTTTTAAATGCCTCTCAAGCATCTAATATGTGAAAGGCACTGTTACTGATATTTTAGAAAAAAATAAAAAGACCATTTAGAAATGTGTTTAGAAACTCTTAACCCAGGGGCGCCTGGGTGGCTCAGTCAGTTGAGCGTCCGACTTCGGCTCAGGTCATGATCTTACGGTTCGTGAGTTCGAGCCCCGCGTCGGGCTCTGTGCTGACAGCTCAGAGCCTGGAGCCCATTTCAGATTCTGTGTCTCCCTCTCTCTCTGCCCCTCCCCTGTTCATGCTCTGTCTCTCTCTGTCTCAAAAATAAATAAACATTAAAAAAAAAATTAAAAAAAAAAAAGAAACTCTTAATCCAAATTGGAGTTTAAAAATGTACAAAAACAACTGTCATACAAAATAAGAGAATTATAGCATAAGACAAAGACAGATAAAGAAATATATGTACTCAAAGGAAGAGAAACTACCTCTAGCTAGGAGGATCACGAAAGAACTCTAAAATAAAATACTGATTTGGGAATGTGTTAGAATACACATTGAGATAGAAAAAGAAAGGCATTTTAGGCAAAGGTAACTACATATAAAAACAATAAAGTCAGGAAAGCAACTGAACATCTAAGAAATAGAGCAAGTATATGGTTTATTTGAGTATACAATTTATAAAGAAAAGAGGTGTCTGAAAAGTTGTTTGGTAGTTGATTATACTGTTCTGAAAGACTGTGGTAAAAGGGTTTAGATTTTACTCTTAAGGACAATGAAAACTTTTTGATTATGAGATTAACGTGATCTATTTTTGGAACATTCATTTAGCAACAGCAAAAAGGGGGGTAAAATTTTGAAGCGTTGCCCAGAACACAACATAACTTGTGAAAAAAAGCAATACACAAAAAGAGAAGTGGCTAATTATGCTCCAAAATGTTTCTATTTACAGTCGTGGCAGAGACTACCAGCTGTCCTCTGAAATCCATTTTCCTTTCCTCCAAAATAAATCGCTGACAACAGAGTGGCAAGGCTCGGTGGATCTTGTGTCCTTCATATTCCTCCCAGTGAGTGCCTTCATGAGCACAAAATCCATCTGCAGCCATATACTGGTTTAGAATCCGAGGCAGAAGCAATTGCAGGCAACCAGTGTCCCTAGTCCTGTCCCTAGGTTACTAAAGAGCAGCCCTAGCCATCAGCCCTTGGAAACAATTCTGAAAAGGAACTGGCATCAAAACAGAAAAACAATGGGCTTTGGAAGATTTTGATTTGGCCACCTGCTGGGTAAAAGAAACTTTCCCTAAATGTTTATTTGGGGAAAGAAAAAGCAAGTTTATCCTGGCTCTTGAAGTATTATTTAAAGCTCAACTGAAGAAGTAAGAGGTAAGCATCAGTTGAGAAGTACAAATCCAATCCCACCTTAGATATCCAAGTATTTTCAGACTATATGGTTACTCCCATGATGCCACCAGAATTTACCTAATTCTAGAATATGTACTCCTTGGACTTGTCTATGGAGAACCTCACGAACTGTCAGTCTGATGAGCAGAGGACTGCAACTCTTAGACCACAGGATTCGCAAATGCCCTGTCTTACCATAGTTTAAAGAGAGTTTTCATGGAGACATTAAACCAGAGAACCTGCTCCTTAAATGAACTGAGAATTTAAGATTACGGTATATTATGGTATATGGCCTCATCCTCCAGAACCACCCACTGCGGCACCATGGACTACTTGCCCCCTGAGATGATTAAAGGCTGAATGCATGCTGAGAAGGTGAATCTCTGGAGCCCTGGGGTTCTTTGCTATAAATTTCTAGTTGGGAAGCCTCCTGCTGAGACAAACACATACCAAGAGATCTATAAAAAAACAACCCGTGAGCTGAATTCACATTCCCTGACTTTGTACCGGGGGAGTCAGGGACTTCTTTTCTAGGCAGCTAAAGCATAACCCTAGCCAAAGCCTGATTCTCAAAAAAGTACCTGAACACTCCTGGATCACAGCAAATTCATCAAAACCATCTAGTAGCCAAAAAAAGCAAAGATTCAACTTTGAATCTTTCCATCTTAAGAACCTTACAGGGAAGAGTGCCTGAGTGGCTCAGCCGGTAGAACATGTGACTCTTGATTTCAGGTTTGTAAATTCAAGCCCCACACTGGGTGTAGAGATTACTTTAAAAAAAAAAAAAAAAAAAAAAAAAAAAAAAAAAAAAAAAGGAACCTCTCAGGGAGAGAAATCCCTATGATGCCAGGGCTGCTGTAGAATCTGTCAAGAACCAGCTACTGACATTCATCTTATTGCTGACTGCCTGCCTCCAATCTAGAGCATTACAGATTTTTTTTTTTTTTTTTTGCTGAGCAGGTAGTACTTTGGTCTCCTATTCAGAAAGTTTTACTTCAGTAAAGATGACACTCTGAAATGAAAGAAGCCACAAGACCTGTGCTAACTTCACTGGTTTCATAATATGGGGGCAAGGTTGAATTGCAGCTACCCCACAGCCTGTTTTGAGTAAGGCGTCCTTGTGGAAGATGAAGTCAGGGTCTGGCTATGGGAAAGTGACCGCTTTGTTCTTATGTGATCACTTAAAGAGCTGTGCAATAACCTTCCAAGTACCTGAGAGGCTGTGTGTATCTTACTGGGTGGCCAAGTCTGGAAAAGCTTCAGAATGAACATGTGATTCTTTTTTTTAAATGTTAAAATGAAGATTTTTGTTTTTGTTTTTGTTTTTTAAAATAGAAACTTGGTTTAATTGGGCATATGGTTACCAGAATAAAGATTATGTTTCCCAGTCACCCTGGCAACACAGCTTGATGTGAGCGTGTGACTAAGTCTGGCCAATAGAATGGAAGGGGAATGGTACATGTAACTTTTGAGAAATATTTAAAAGAAGGAATATATTTTTTTCTTTTCGTTTCTTCCTTTCTGTTTTCTGTTGGCTGGAATATGGGCCTGATGGCTACCATATGAGAATGGAGGCTAAAAGTGTTGGAACAACAGGAGAGACAGAGCTTTGTTCCTTGATACAGGGGAGTACCAGGTCATCCATGGATGTCTATATCTGGATGTTTACAAGAAAGAGAAAAAATTCCCTGTGTTCTTTTAAACCAATGCTATTTTGTTTTTGTTTTCATCTCTCAGAGCCAAAATGAATCCTAACTTAAACACACTATTATAGGCATTTTTAATTAGCATAATCCCATTGAACTAAATTAACAGGATAGGTAGTTAGAAGTAAACAAGCTGAATTCCTAAAGAATAAAAGGCTTATGTACAACAATGGTATTAGAGAGTGAGCATCTCCTAGAACTAATTTTTTTTTTTATCAGTAAAGTTTTTAAAAGTCCATTAAGTGAATTTCTGGCAATGAGATTAACTTGTGTACTATCTTTCCAAAGTTCTCCAGAAATGTCTTAAAGAGCTTTAAAAATGTTAATTTCACCAGTTAATCTATACCAAAAACTTGCAGCTAATATCCTATTTCACATATGAGCAACACAGAGAAAAGCTGAAGACAGCAAGGGAATAGAGAATACTTGGCTGTTTATACTCATTTTAGAAGGCTAGAAGAAAATAATATGCAGATAATCCAGTTAGTTACCTGCAGTGGCTGTCTCCAAGAATTCTTTCTCTTCAGGGTGGGCAGCCTTAGCCACCGCCTTTTTACTGTAGATCTCCTTTTTCTGGTTTTTGTCTGAAAGGCTCTCATCCCCACTGACAGAAACTTGAACTTTGGCATCTGGAATAATGACATCATGTGAAAAGACAACAGGACAAAGGAAAAGACAATAAACACAATAGGCAAGTAACCCCCCACTCAAAAAAATAAGCCTCAAACAAAAACCCAAACCTCTTCATACATCAAGAAAAAAAGCATCTCCTAGGCCCCACCATATAAAAGCTATGACAATTATGGTGGGTTTACAATATGAATTGGAAAGTTTTCCATATTTTTCTGTATACGACGATGGTTTAAGTAAAATACCATTTTAAATTAAATCTGTTCTTTGCTGATTTGACACAACAGTTAAAAAAAAAAAAGATCAGGTATTTTTTCAAAGTAGAAAAGTAAATTTGAACTCCTCTTTTGAGTTCTTTGGTCTATTCCAAGTTTTTGTCACTTTGTTGAGGCAATTTTGATATTTCATACAATCCTAGAAAAGCATCTAGAAAAGCACCATTTAGATTTTATGTATAATACTCATATGATTTTTTAAGATCTCCTGAAATTATATCCTTTTCAAATTGTCTAATACTTTCTACTTTCTTTCTTGGTCATACTTGCTAGAGATTTATCTATCTTATTGGTCTTTTTTAATCAGCTCTTTTCTTTTTTATTATATGAAAAAACCCAATTATAAAACAGTGTTACTAAATATATTAAAATCACCAATGCAACAACTAGGATAACAGTCATCATACAGTTAATAACGTTTATATATTTTTTAAACTATTTTATTTTTAAATGTTTATTTTTTAGAGAAAGAGAGAGGGAGGGAGGAGAGAGCAGAGAGAGAGAGAGAGAATCCCACCTGGATGTTCTGCACTGTCAGTGTAGAGCCCCACATGGGGCTTGAACCCACAAACCATGAGATCATGACCTGAGCCAAAACCAAGAGTCAGATACTTAACCAACTAAGCTACCCAGGTGCCCCATTTTATTTTAGAGAGAGACAGTACGCATGAGTGGGCTCTGAAAGGGGCGGGGGGGGGGGGGGGGGGGGAGAGAGAGAGAGAGACAATCTTAGGCAAGCTCCATGTTCACCGCAGAGTCAAATGTGGGGCTCGATCCCATGACCCTGGGATCATGACCTGAGCCAAAATCAAGAGTTGGATGCTCAACCAAATGAACCAACCAGGTACTCCAAGGTTATATGTTTTTACAATGGGCTGAAAAGAGATACATCTCTTATTGCTAAGTATGGATATTTTTCAACAACAACAACAACAACAACAACAACAAAATCAGAAAAGCAGTGGACATTACTAAAGACGTAACATAATGTGTCTCCCAAAGAGCTTAAGAAATGAAATATTACAGATATGATTTCCTGTTGTAAAGCCTTAGTGATACCATTCTCTGCCTTTTCAGCAGAAACCTTTATGCTGAATTTAGAGTTTATCAATCTCTGATGTTTCTGATGTTTTTACTATATTGCATGTATTATCCACAATACACGGGGCCCCCTTGGTGGCTCAGTTGGTTAAGTGTCTGACTTCAGCTAAGGTCATGATCTAGTGGTTCAAGAGTTCGAGCCCCACATCAGGCTCTCTGCTGTCAGCGTGGAGCCTGCTTTGGATCGTCTGTCACCCTCTCTCTTCCTCTCTCCTGCTTGCTCGTGAGCACACAACGTGCATGCGCCCTCTCTCTCTCTCAAAAATAAACATTAAAACAAATAAGCAAACAAAAAAACAAAACATGCCCAAACTGGAACATAGAACTACCCTATGCTTAAAATCTGCCCTGGGATCAGTAGCACCTATTTGGCTAATAGCTATGCACAGGAATAAAAAACTGTAAATGGAACAAAGCAACACAGTTACACATGTAGAATTTTTAGTGGCCCCTGGAGTCTCCATTTAATAAATACTACCATGTATCAACTAAAGAAGTATAGTACCAAGGATGCAGAGGAAAAAAAAAATCAAGCAGGTCCCTAAATATTAAAAGCTCTTATAAAATAGTAAGGCCTTTATCTGGGGATAAAATTGAAAATTCAAATAGCCACAGTGACCAGACAGATAAGGTAGATGAATGAAGCAGACTGGCTCTGAGAAGTGTGGAGAATTAAAGCAAACAGGAGAATGTACATCTTCTCCGCAAGTAACAGCCATGACTCAGGGGCAGGTGATCATTGCCATGAAGGAATGCAAGCTGAGGGCAACCAGATATTCTGATTTTTCCAGGGAAGACCTAAATCTTATTTTTAAATGTCAGCAGCAAAATGAAAAGAAAATTTAAAATACCATGTGAGCCATATACTTCCAACCTATGAAAATATTAGTTTGTACCATCTGACAGATAAATTCATGAGGCAAATTTAATCAAGATTTTCTGGATTTCAGTTTGTAAAATATACCTGATTGCATATTTTTTTATTCCAAAAGTTGCAATCTATTTTATTTCCCACAGTGAAAATACAGCTTATAGTTTTAAGAAGCCTGTGAAGCATTTTGAAAGATTTCATAAATATTTTACCTTCTTATACACACCCAATAAAACAGCTAACAGAAAAGTTTGCATAACACCAGAAATAAGATGAAGACTGGAAAATATTCTCATTTTGGATGACCAGGGAAAAAAAGGCCACAAAATATAAAAAGTGAATACAGTTACCTGCATTATCTCTCTGAGGGGGGTTTTTCCCCACTGAGAAGGATGGCTTAGCCACGGCCCTCTTACTGTAGATCCCCTCTTTATGTTTAGTGTCAGCAGGGATGGACAGGTCATCATCCCTGGTGCCTAGCACCTCAGCTGGGAAGTCTGGAGCGATGGCATCATTGGATCCTACAGCAAAGTAGGAAAGTAGTACAATTAACAAATATATAGACATGAAGTTGAACAGAGACAAAAAACTTACCTCTTAAACCACTTCTATTAAAAAGATACAATAGGAGTGTTGCAGTGTGATCAGAAGGGGATGTCAGACATGTACAATAAATTGCAACAATATAAGGTGGAGAAGCAAATGACAGAAGATATATAGAGTATCAGTTCAGAAGAGAGACAATTTCCAGTCAGGAAGATTTTCAAAGAGAGGAGAATATTATAGACTGTAACCTGAAAAATAAGTAGGCTTTTTGAAATATGCAAAGGAAGGAAGAAAGACATTTTAGGCAGAGGTGAAACATGAGCAAAGACAAGAAGGCAGGAAAGCAAAGAGTATATAAGAACCACAGTCACTTTGGGGTCAGGACAGATCATACAATATATTAAAGAAAATGGTGGGAAATATTAAAACATAATTGTTTGGGACAAAATTCAGCAGGGTATGGAATCCCAAGCTAAAGAGTACAAATTGTACTCTTTGTATATGAAATGCAACATCATTGTACATTTCTAATAAAGGGAAAATGTAATCAGCTATGTTTTAGGAAGATTAATCTGATGATAATACAAGATAGAAAACATTCAAAGGAAAATCTTGTGTGATAAATACAAGATTTGAAGGTAATTTTTATTTTTTTAAAATACATTTCAATATTCCCATGTCCACTGGTAAGAGAAGTTCATTGATGCCACAAAAAAGAGGTGAAGAATATCTCTGGACATACAAGAGTATTTAGCAACTAGAACAGGATCTTCTATAAAAATGTTTTTTCTTTCTAATCTGGGATTCTGCACTTCATGCATTTTCTGAGTACCTAAAATATATATGCCAGTAAGAGATGAGAAAGCAGTCTCATTAGTACGGTGCAAATATAAGTAAGTCATGAGGATTTTTTAAGGATAGATTGCAAGGACCCTACTAAGTCTTCTGGGTCATATGTACAGATTAAATTACGCTTTTCTCAACTTCTGTGGCATCACTTTCTCTTATTTGCTCCCCATGTCTCTTGCAAATCCTTAGTATCCCTACTACTACCAAATCTCTCAATGCTGGAGTTCCTCAAGGGGTCAGAACTCTTCTCTTCCTGAGTGAACTCATCAGCTACCAATGGATGGAATACTATCTATCTACATGCTGATGACCAACAAATATATTATCTCTGGCTGGGACCTTTCTTCTGAGATTCAGATTCTAGCATTCAGGACATAGCTAGCCCTTACAGCATCTTATGAAGAAATTAGAAAAAGGTGTCCCTTCCTTAATTAAAAAATTAAGATATTATATTTTATGGCATAATATAACAATTGCACATGGGATCATTCTCCTCACAAATACTTCCAGATACCAGACAACATACATCACCAGCAGCAAGCACATGCATACTCTTCAGCACCACCCTTGGTTCTCCAAGAAAGGTGACTGTGTCAGGTTCACTCACAGTCAGGTAGTCCCGGAAAGCAGTGGGTAGATGAGCAAGACAATCAACTCAGTGGAGCTGAGAGCAGTTGAAAGACAGTGTAGCCTGATGCATGTGTATATGCCAACAAGCGTATGTGCACTTGTATTTTCTGGCATCCACGCACAGCTGCAGGGTGTATAAGTATAGATTTTTGTCTGGGGCAGGAAGAGAGTTAACACTGCTCCAGAACTCAAACCTTCAGGCCCACCTGTGTATTTTCATAAAAAACACTGTATGTCTGTCTATATGATGTGAACAGTGCCACCTTCTACACAGCACCCTTACAAACAACCTTAAATGTGTAAACCAACTCAACAGTCAATAGCCTTCTAACTACTGCTGTCCTTGCTTCCACTTCTAGAGTTGGCTCCCTGTCTTCTGACCCATGAAGTGATAAATTTTATCTAGCAGCCAAATAAATCTTACAAATGTAAATGAAACCACAGTTGTCTACCAGAATAAAATTCAAATGTTTTAATATGGTTTACAAGACCCTGCATGATCTTGGACTTACCTATCTAACCATATCTAGTCACTATTCTGCTCTAACCACACTAAAATTCTCATCTGTCAAATGCATCCAACTCTCTCCTCTTTCAGGAGTTTTTCCCAGACTGCTCCCTCTGTGCAGAACACTGTCATTCCCCACTCTCTGCCCACTTAACCTGCCTTTACCCTCTAAATCTTGTCTCTCAAGTTTTTTCCTTGGAAAGGCTTTCAGGAGCTCCTAAAACTCTGTTCCAATTATTCTCTTCCAATTCTACTTTATTTTCTTAACACTTATTATTTGTAATTATGTACTTATTGGTGGTCTATTTATTTACTAACTATAACAACATTCCACACACTCCACAATCTTATGGAGCATGTTCATTCTGTACACTACTGTAAATGTAGCACCTAGTATAGTATCTGGCAGGAACACGGTAAGAGCTTTAATAATTTTTAGTTGAATAAAAAAAATGAATGTGAACTGAAAGCTTTTTGTCACCTTAAGAAAAAAAAACCAAAAAACCAACTTTGGTTATACATGCTTTGGAATGAACACATACTGGGACTGCAATGTACATAGTTGCTTATCTATTTTTTTCACTCAATTCGAGATAAATTTTAAATGTAATTTAGAGTTTAAAGTTAGCATATAAGATGAAAAACCATACAGGGTGGAAATCACTCTGGAGGGTTCCTTAAGGCACTATGTTGAAACTGATATTCTGTCTGTTCAACGAATCCACCAGAGTGCACTTTTCCCTCCTGGCTTGCAACAAATCACTGTGCCTGCTTCTGAGCACCTGATGAAGTAAGTATCTGGCCACATTGTTCCCATATCCCATTTCAAATTCCATCATGATAATATGTTCATTAAGTGTAGACCATGCACAAGTTCCTGGTGTTAAGTCCTACAGACCGAAAAAACTTAAGAAGTTAAAAGTTAAGCCCCTCTGGTTTTATCTTTTTTAAAAAAATTTTTAATGTTTATTTTTGAGAGAGAGAGAGAGCACGTGAGGAGAGAAGGGGCAGAGAGAGGCGGTGGGGGGGGGGGGGGGGGGGGGGGGGGGGAAGGGGACACACAATCTGAAGCAGGCTCCAGGCTTTAAGCTGTCAGCACAGAGCCTGACACGGGGCTCAAACTCACGAACTGTGAAATCATGACCTGAGCGAAGGTAGGATGCTTAACTGACTGAGCCACCCAGACGTCCCTAGCCCCTCTGGTTTTCAAAGCCAAATATTATGGGGATTTATCTTCCCAGTGCAGGTCCCCTGTGCCAGGGGTGCCTGGTGTGGAATCTGTTCTTTTCCCTTCTCTGTGCTTGTGGTGTCCCTTCCTCTCATGGTCAGTCTTGTAGATCAGTTTGGTCCCTGATTCTCTCTGCTCTTCCTGCCATTTTTCTTGTGACCTCTTCACTACAATTAGCTGTGGAGCATCTGCTGTGCCATTCTTTGGGTCGTTTTCTGGGTTATTTACACTGATGTAAATGTTATCGAGGTATATCTGTGAGATGAGGTGAGTAGGATCCTCCTACTCTGCCATCTTCCCTGGCAACTCCCTACCCCTCCCTTTTAAAAAATTGAGATATAGGGGTGTCTGGGTGGCTCAGTTGATTAAGCATCCAACTCTTGATTCTGAATCAGGTCATGATCTCATGGTTAGTGAGATCAAGCCTTGTGCATGGTTTGTGAGATCAAGCTACAATACAGAGCCTGACAGTGCAGAACCTGCTTGGGATTCCTGCTCTGCCTCTCTGCCCCTCCAGCTCATGTGCTCTCTTTTTCTCAAAATAAACAAACATTTAAAGAATAAATTAAAAATAGGGGTGCCTGGGTGGCTCAATTGGTTGAGTGTCCAACTTTGGCTCTGGTCATGAAGCCTGACAGCTCAGAGCCTGGATCCTGCTTCAGATTCTGTATCTCCCTCTCTCTCTGCCCGTCCCCACTGGCTTGCTCCCTCGCTCTCTCAAAATAAACATTAAAAATAAATAATAAAAAAATTGATGATACAATTCAAATAACATAAAATCCACAAATTTAACAAGTGTACAAACGAGTAATTTTTAGTGTATTTACAACCACCACTGCTATCTAATTCCAGAACATTTTTGTCACCCCCAAAAGAAATAGACACATTAGCAATTACCCTCCATTTCCCCCTCTCCCACAGCTGCTGGCAACCACTAATCTACATTCTGTCTATATGGATTTCCTTGTTCTGGACATTTCATATAAATGGAATTATACAATATGTGACTTTTCAACTGGCTTGAATTGTGTATTTCTCCCTTTAATAGCATCAGGTATCAGGTGTTTTTCTTTCTTTCTTCCCTTCCTCCCTTCCTCCCTTCCTCCCTTCCTTAATTCTGCCAGTTTTCTTTATGTATTTGGGACTCTGTTGTTAGGTGCATATACATTTATAATTTATCTTCTTGATTTATTAATGCTTTTATCATTACAAAATGAACTTTGTCTTTACTAATAAATTTTAAAGTCTATAATGTCTAATAATAGACACTCTAGCCGTCTTTGGTTACTGTTTACATGACATATCCTTTTATATCTTTTAACTTTCAGCCAGTTTGTCTTTGAAACTAAATAAAATTTTCTGTAGACAGCATACAGAGTTGGATGTCTTTTTATCTACCTTGCCAATCTCTGCCTTTTTAATGGGAGTATAACCTTCATTTACATTTAATGCAGTTGCAGATAATGGAGGATTTAGGTCTGCTATTTTTCTACTTTTTTCTCTAGTATTATGTCTTTTTTTTTCCCTCAGTTTCTCTACTAGTACATTTTCTTTTTTGGTGTTAAATAGATATTTACTAGTGTAGCATTTTAATTCCTATGGTGACACTTTTACTATATATATTTTTAGTTATTTTTCTTCGTGGTTGTTCTTGGAATTGCCATCCATGTTTTAATATAAATTAACAATCTATTGGGTTAAAACTGAATTTCAACAGTATATAAAAACTTTTCTACTGTATAGCTCTCTCTCCTCCTTTC